TTTAACATCTACTTGTTAAGCATTTTACTCATGACGCCCATGACCTGCTGCATCATGAGCATTTGTTGCTGCTGGAACTGTTGCTGTTGTTGCTGAAACTGCTGCTGTTGCTGTTGATTTTGCAGTTGTTGCTGGTGCATTAGCTTCAGCATATCAGCCTGTTGTTGTTGGACTTTAAGTTGTTGTTCCTGTCTTCCCTTTTCCAGCTCAAGTTCCTTTTCTCTAATTTCTGCACTCTGCTGTGCTCTTTCCTTTAGAAACTCCATGGCATCTCCAGTTTTTCTTCTTGTTCGTTTTGGTTTGTCCTCACCCTCTTCGGCTTCCTCTGACGCCCTTTTTTTGGTTTGGGAAAGCCTTTCCATAGCTTTCATTCTTACATCCTCTGCTTTAGCTTTGTCAGCTTTATCCTTACTACATGTATCTGTGGGAGCACTCTCTTCAAGTGCAATAATTTGCTGTATTAGCTCATCTAGTTCACTTGGCTCATCTGAGGATATTCCTGACGCTCTTTCTTCAGCTCTAATTTTTTTCTTGTACTTGTTTACCAAGACATTGATGTGGTCCCGGATGGCTCTGTGGTCAACATTAAATTGCGGAGAAGCACATTTGTTTAGAACATCTACAATTTCCTTCCAAGTTTCACTGCGCTGGGGAGACCCCTTTTTGTATAAGTAGGGATTTTCAAACACTACTTCTCTGCACAGTATAATATTGTGCTGTTCAGTCCAGTACATAACATTGCTGTGTGAAAACAAAAACAAAGAGAATATTAGAATAAAATTCACTCCAAAAAAACCGTTTCTTTTGAATTGAAACTAAATGCTGTTGTCAATCTCACAGCTAATTTTATGCTTGTTCAAAAAAGTGAGATTTTTCTTTAATGACGTTTAAAGCTCACAAATTTAAAAAGCGGCCTTGCTGAGGGAAAGAGACCTCACCCATAACTTACACTTTCAGGAATAACAGCAGTGGAATAATGCATTCAAAGCCTAACGTTGATAATTTAAAAGATTCACATTATCAAAACTTCAAATGATATAGGCAACATCATCTAACTTCAAATACAATCTCTTTTTAGTTCTAATTTTTCTTGGTTTGTTTTCGCTTCAGAGTATTATCTAAAACATGGCTCATTAGTAAAAATTTCAAAGAAATAAAAAAATGGACATAACACAATAGCAGAAATGTCAAAGTCTTAGCTTTCGAAATGCTACGCTTTATGACAGTAGTCAAGGTAATGAACTAATTAAACTTATGTTTCCTCTTATAGTGGGCGATTTTTGAAAGTTAGCTTTAATAAGCTTTCTTTAGTTGAGTTTTAATCACACTCAATATCAGGAAATGCAATTTCAGATCATCATGAATTATCAAGCCTGGATCTAGTAGAGACTCAACTAGAAAAACGGAATAGTCTTAGCTAAATTATTTANGAAAGCCTTTCCATAGCTTTCATTCTTACATCCTCTGCTTTAGCTTTGTCAGCTTTATCCTTACTACATGTATCTGTGGGAGCACTCTCTTCAAGTGCAATAATTTGCTGTATTAGCTCATCTAGTTCACTTGGCTCATCTGAGGATATTCCTGACGCTCTTTCTTCAGCTCTAATTTTTTTCTTGTACTTGTTTACCAAGACATTGATGTGGTCCCGGATGGCTCTGTGGTCAACATTAAATTGCGGAGAAGCACATTTGTTTAGAACATCTACAATTTCCTTCCAAGTTTCACTGCGCTGGGGAGACCCCTTTTTGTATAAGTAGGGATTTTCAAACACTACTTCTCTACACAGTATAATATTTTGCTGTTCAGTCCAGTACATAACATTGCTGTGTGAAAACAAAAACAAAGAGAATATTAGAATAAAATTCACTCCAAAAAAACCGTTTCTTTTGAATTGAAACTAAATGCTGTTGTCAATCTCACAGCTAATTTTATGCTTGTTCAAAAAAGTGAGATTTTTCTTTAATGACGTTTAAAGCTCACAAATTTAAAAAGCGGCCTTGCTGAGGGAAAGAGACCTCACCCATAACTTACACTTTCAGGAATAACAGCAGTGGAATAATGCATTCAAAGCCTAACGTTGATAATTTAAAAGATTCACATTATCAAAACTTCAAATGATATAGGCAACATCATCTAACTTCAAATACAATCTCTTTTTAGTTCTAATTTTTCTTGGTTTGTTTTCGCTTCAGAGTATTATCTAAAACATGGCTCATTAGTAAAAATTTCAAAGAAATAAAAAAATGGACATAACACAATAGCAGAAATGTCAAAGTCTTAGCTTTCGAAATGCTACGCTTTATGACAGTAGTCAAGGTAATGAACTAATTAAACTTATGTTTCCTCTTATAGTGGGCGATTTTTGAAAGTTAGCTTTAATAAGCTTTCTTTAGTTGAGTTTTAATCACACTCAATATCAGGAAATGCAATTTCAGATCATCATGAATTATCAAGCCTGGATCTAGTAGAGACTCAACTAGAAAAACGGAATAGTCTTAGCTAAATTATTTATGAAGCTAAAATTGATCATCCGTCGATGGAACAACCGATAAAGTTTTATTCTGATATTTCACATCGGAGCTCGTTGGATTAATCAAAAACAGAAAGAAGACCAAGTAGAATGCTAGGACGTCTGACAACTAAATTGTATCAAGTATGAGAATAGCCGCATGAATGTAGTGATAATTTCCCTCAACTGTGAAGGAAAATGAGATTTTGGGAAACATTTCAAGGATAATTAGATGACTTACTTTGAAGATCTGCTCAACGCCATGTGCTTGCTCACCTGGAGGGAACAAAACGTTTTAAACTATTAAACTTTGGTCCTTTTCGTTTCAAAAATGATGCCTAACCTTTGAAGAGGCAATAAATTTTAAATTCCAAGTGACAGAATAGTTGTGATAGACTGGTAATTATAGTGATTTGTTTTAAGTAACAAGGCTAAATACTCATGTTTTCCAGACGTGTCAAATCTCTTCAGGCCGCGTTCTCGAGAGCGAGAGAAAACGCCAAGCGCATGCGCTCTTCATCCGAAACTGGAAAAGTCACTTCCGGTCGTGTCTCCGACTCACCGCGTCCTGGGTTCTTAAAGTCCCTAGTGATGATAAGGATGGTGGTAACAATGTTGACAATGGCAACTACAATGACAATGAAAATAGTGCTGATGATAATCCAAAGCCAAAGAGCACAAAAAAGGAATCAAAAGGTTTGTACTAGGCTTCTTTTCAATTTTTGAGGTCGAATAAACATCAAACAGGTTGATTGTTTACAACACTATGTTTCAAATCAACACATCATAATCTGTGTTGCAGAAACTTCTATATCATTAATGTTCAATCAGCCTGCCAGGAAGGTAAAGAGGGTGCAAAGGAAGATGTGGATTTTGATCATCACAAAAAAATCAATTTCATAACAGGCTGTTAACATGTTTGTTCGTGATAAGCAATAATTTCTGGGTTAGAACTGAAAGAAATTGCTGCCAAAGAGGCAGCAATTTCACTCACTCAGTTCTAGACGCAAGAATTCAAAGGAAAAAACTGGGTACGATCGGGGTATCTAGTTGATACGTCACTCTCACTGGTACAGTGTACGGCAAAAGAGCACGAGAACTGCGATATCGTTTTTAACGAGAGACCTCTTCACCTCTACATCCTATACCTCTAACCAATCGGCGCATGTAAGGAACACTTTGAAATATCCATGCACGTGCACGCTTTTTCCAATCAACTGTCTATTTATAGAAAGCGTGTGAAACACTGGGCTATTAGGTCTATTACATATCCTAAGCCCGAATTCAACATTTACGATCGCCAAACCTTTATACATGTAAAAGCTCTGTTTTTAAACAAAACAACTCGATTCGTTCGCGTCAATTTGTATTTTTAAAGCGAAAGTTTGTTCTGTTTGTAGTTATTATGGAAAATTGAATCAAGCTGTCAAATTACAAAGATGTATGCGCTTGCCAGGAAGTAATTTCTAGGGATTAGAAACAGCCAAACGCTTTTCTCCTTTTTTTCTCCTTTTCAGGCATATTAGGCAACCGACATTGAGTCGCAAGCAAATCAATTTATTTAAAGAAAAGGGAATTCTTTTGGATAACGTTTTCTGTATCAAGATGCAATGTGGCGTGCAAGTTTCAAGCAATTGTACTATTCCTTTACTACACGAACAAAAGCAAATTTTATTATACAGTCATTCTCAAGTTCAAATACAGACAATGTAAGCATTTTGATAGTGTGCTGTGACTCAAGTGTTTGACTTATCGAAGAGTAAGTTTCGTCACGAAGTTCACTTATACAATAATAGAGGTCATCATAAGGCCGCCGATTCTTATTTTCATGGCTTAGGACAAACAAAAGCTTTTGAAATGGTTCAATTTCATTAAAGTTTATAGTGTGTAACCATTTTGATGCATTTTCTGTCCGTTGCTACGTTATCATTACCGAATTAGTGCGTTATAATGAAAGAAAGAAAAAAGATTGATGTGGGTACCCTGTGGTGGGCCCTTTTTTCATTTAGGCGATTAGGTAGAAATGGTTCTATTTCATTAAAGTGTATGGTGTGTAATCATTTTGTGGCATTGTCTCTCCGTTGCTGTGCGATAATTACCGAATTAGCGCTTTGAAAAAAAATTGACACTGGTACCCTGTGGTGAACGACGTGTTTGCCGTCTTCCTGTGGAATAATTAAATGAGTGCCCAAAGATTTTTTTGCAGATAATGTTAGTATGAAGTCCCGCCTTCTAGACGGTATGCTCCGTTTTCTGAAGCTTGCTCCGGCATTGGAGATGTTTTGGCCTAAACTTTGGATATTTCAACAGTTTTCACTATTGGGTGAGATGGGGGGTCTTGGCTGAGATGACTTGCATCATAGGAACTTGTCGTAGAAGAATGAAGCATTTACAATAACACTGAAAATATGAAAAGATTTGATTGAATTCTTTTAGCACTAAAGCTTTATACTTTTGACCAATTTTTAGGNTCACGAAGTTCACTTATACAATAATAGAGGTCATCATAAGGCCGCCGATTCTTATTTTCATGGCTTAGGACAAACAAAAGCTTTTGAAATGGTTCAATTTCATTAAAGTTTATAGTGTGTAACCATTTTGATGCATTTTCTGTCCGTTGCTACGTTATCATTACCGAATTAGTGCGTTATAATGAAAGAAAGAAAAAAGATTGATGTGGGTACCCTGTGGTGGGCCCTTTTTTCATTTAGGCGATTAGGTAGAAATGGTTCTATTTCATTAAAGTGTATGGTGTGTAATCATTTTGTGGCATTGTCTCTCCGTTGCTGTGCGATAATTACCGAATTAGCGCTTTGAAAAAAAATTGACACTGGTACCCTGTGGTGAACGACGTGTTTGCCGTCTTCCTGTGGAATAATTAAATGAGTGCCCAAAGATTTTTTTGCAGATAATGTTAGTATGAAGTCCCGCCTTCTAGACGGTATGCTCCGTTTTCTGAAGCTTGCTCCGGCATTGGAGATGTTTTGGCCTAAACTTTGGATATTTCAACAGTTTTCACTATTGGGTGAGATGGGGGGTCTTGGCTGAGATGACTTGCATCATAGGAACTTGTCGTAGAAGAATGAAGCATTTACAATAACACTGAAAATATGAAAAGATTTGATTGAATTCTTTTAGCACTAAAGCTTTATACTTTTGACCAATTTTTAGGTGTTTTTTGGTCATTTTTAAAAAAAAAACAAGGGGGTGGTCAACTCCCCCCGG